TATTCTTTCTCTATTCTTTGTGCTTGTTGTTTTAATGATAATATGTCATGGAGAAGTTCTGTTTTGGTCAAGTCTGTTCAGGTACAGGAAACCTGGAGGTTTCCTGTACCTGAATGGGCAAAACTTTCTCGAGATTTGGGAAATTTTCTGTTACTATTTTATTGAATATGCTATGTATCCCTTTGGCTTGCACTTCTTCTTCTCCAATGCCCATAATTCTCAAGTTTAATCTTTTGATGACATTGCTGAGTTTTTGCATATTCCTTTCACAGATCTTGAGTTGTTTGACTATATTTCTTCTGTTTTTTCTTTAAATTTCTATTTTATCCTCACGCTCTGAGATTCTGTTTTCCACTTGTTCTAGTCTGCTGGAGTGGCCTTCCACTGTGTTTTTTGTATGACTAAAGGGACTTTTTATTTCCAGGATTTCTGTTTAATTCTTTCTTCTGAGGTTTTTTTATATCTTTGTTCAACTCCTCTTTTATAATTTGTGTTGTCCTCTTTAATTTATGTATCTCTCTTTTTCTAGTGTCCTTTGTTTCACTTTAGAGTTTGTTGAAGTCCTCTCTGAGTTCCTGTGTTTCTGTGTCTTCTCGTGTTCTTTATTTTTGGTATCTTGAAATTTGTTGAGTGCATCTCATTCATTCTGGTTAACCATGTCTAGTAGCTTCTCCATGAATTTCTCAGAGATTTCTTCCAAGAGTTCCTCTTTGAGGTGTTTTACATGAATGTCACTGGGCTCCTTCGTGACATTTATCATTGTTTTGTTGAGGTCAAGAACATTTTCTTTATTTCCCACTGAATCCTCTATTGAATTATTTTTTTAAGAAGAGTGGTTTCCATCCCTTCGTCTTCTTTCCATCGCTCCAGTTGGTGCTGTGCAACTATGTTCTTGATGGGTTAGTTGGTGGATTTGATTGCCTGATTTCTTTCCCTGATTTAATTTTTTGTGTTGTGACTAACTTGGTTGATAGCTAGTTTGATGTGCTCTTTCTTTCCCTGGGCTGGAGGTGTAATTTAGCAATAACAAATTCACAGGTTCATTGCCAGACCAGTTGTTTACCTATTATGTAGAAAACCCATTGATGATAGTATCTATAAACATTCGGATTTGGGGGGGGGTAATGGTTATTAGACTAGTTATAGATTTGGGGAATTGGTAAAGGTGGCACTAAAAAGGGGGGCAGGGGATAAAGGGTGGGTAGGTGGGGGAAGAGGTGTGGAGGCTGCTGGGTTTTGTGGTCCTTATGTGTGTTTGGTGTATTTCTGTTGCAGTGGAGGGTGTTTGTGTCAGGGATTGCAGGGGCTGGGGTTGTGTACAGCTGGTACAGTAGGCCAGGCAGCAGGTGGTGAGTGTATAGGAGGGAAGGTAGTGTGGTGACAGTTTGGGGGAGGAAAGGATGAGGAGGTGAAGACATGGAAAAGAGTGGATGAGAAGGGGCAGAAAGAGTAGTTGGGAGGGAGAACAATGGATTGTAGTATGGGAGAAGGATGGAAAGTGAAGAGGGTAAGAATAGGGATAAGAGATTAGTGAGGATAAAGTTAATAATACAGAGTAAAAAAAGAAAAAAGTAGAAAAACAATAAAAAACATGAGGTTCAGGAACCACAAAAAGTTCAATCTATGGGTAAAAGTTCTGGAGTTATTCCTTAGGTGTCCAATCCTGTTATTGGTATACAGCCAGAAGCTCTGATGTGGTCTCACCAGGTGACTGGCTTATGAGTGGTATTTGGTCCTTCTGTCCACAAGATTAGTTGGAATTGTGAGGTGAGGTGAGGTGTGCAGTTCATGCAGGGTGGTCAAAGCTGTTGTTTTCACCAGGTGACAGCTGGGTTGCCCTTCAGCTGCAGCTCTGTTTGGTCAGCTCCTCCCCTAGCAAGGTGAGGCAATTCACTTTTGAATGGTGCCCTCTGTCCCAGAGATCAGCTCCAGGATCCACCTCCTGCCCTGCTTTGGGAGGATGGCCTGTTGTCCCACCCCCGCTCTCAGCCTTTGCGCTTTCCCTGATCTCTGCTGAGTGCCAGCAGCTCCTCTGGGAAGTTGGCTTGTCGCCTCACCCCCACTCTCAAGCTTTGCTGCTTTATGTGCATGTCACTGAGAGTTTGGCTTCTTGCCCCACCCCCATTCTCTAGGTCATGTTCAGCATTCCACTCCCACCTCTGTTGTCAGTGTTAGATTACAGTTCATTGTTTATGTTTATCAGTTTTTCTGGGGGAAGGGAGCATTCAGTCTGCCCAGGGGCTGTGCTGCATAAAATCCCCAGGGATGGCAGTGGGTAGGGGAGTTACACGTGGTGCATGATGCTCACCTGTGTTCTGCCACTTCACGCAGGCAGCTTTGGAGTTAGCTGGCAGAGAGAAATGGTGGCGTCGCATAGGGAGGCTCTCCACAAGCTAGGGGTCTAGGATGTCACAGAGTTTGATTCTGATTGATGCTTTGTCTTCTGCTTGTTGGGAGAAGAAAAAAAAAAAAAAAGAGAAGCGGCCAGGGGCTTTTTTCCCCTGGGTCAGAGGCCAGACACAACTTTCTGGCTATGCTAGGCAGGATATTCACAGCTGTTAGGTGCAATTAAAGGCTGATTTAAGGGTCAGTCTTTGAATTTTATCTGCACCTAATGTGATGGTGATTATTGTTTTGGCTAGGAGCAATCAGCATTACCCAAGTATATTTCCAGTGTCTCAAGGAGGTTTCTGGTATCACAGAGCTTAGGAGTTCTGATTCCCCTACCTTAGCCACCATTTTGGATCCCTCTATAATTAAATTCAAATTAGTGGTTATTTTATCTTCAAAATCAATTCAATCTTTCCTTACATAGAAAGTTATATCATGTTCTGATTTACAGATATATCTGACACACTGAGTGAGAAATTTTCTTAGAACTTCTTTAGAATATCACATACTTGGCTAATATAAACTCTTTACTCTGCCTATTTGCCACCATGTATTTAATTTCTTTATTTTGGTCTCCATACTGCATCTTCCACATTTGGAGGATATCTCTCAGTCCTAATATTCTGAGATGGGTTGAAACGGAATATGTTTTAACTTCCAGCCTCTGTTGGATTTTATACTTCTCACCCCCCAACTTTTCCCCTTCTGGTTTCAGATCCTTTTAGTTTGTTCTTGTGTGAATGCTATTGCATGTGCTTTGTTGCTCTAATTTCTTGTATTTGGACTGTGCTTCTTCGTGGTCATGGAGGGTGAAGCAGTCCAGACTGCTGAGAGCAGATGCAACAGCAGTTTTAGAGAGTGGTGCGGTGGTGATTCCAGAGCATTGTAATGTGGTAAAGTTTCAGAACCTTTCTCCATAACGTTGAATTTTGTTAGTATTTTCTCAGTTATAGAAGCAGTTTGATCTTCTATGTTTTGCATTATTAAAATAATTCCAACATACTTTTCCTATATGAAAGATTGTACTTTCTTTATATATCCGTATTAGCATGATTACTGTTTTCTTAGCCCTCGTCCACATTGGGATTTGCAGTTTTTTCCCTTCATTCACTGAATGTTGAAAATTTATGAGGAGGCTTTCAACCTTCAACTCTGCATTGTTCTCTCTGAAATTGCTTAGGAAGAATTGAAAAATAGGGAACTTCATTTTTCATTTTTTTCCAAATCATAGGAAATAATAAAAATTTGAAACTAATTCTGAAATGATGGTTTAGAATATTGGCTAAAATGGAAAATACTCCTACTAAGTAGGAGATAAAGGGAAACTGAAAAACTATAGGGGAATGTGTACTATTTTCACACATAAACAAAGGGGAAAAATAATACGCATTAAGTGCTAACAATGGGGTTTCCTGGATGATAGCAATATAACATTTACATTATACTCTGATATGTTTTCTTGTCTAACCTTAACATACGTACACATGTATGTTGTGTATGTGAAAATAGGAGAAAAGCAAACTAGCCTAGACTGCTGTACCTCAGAAATACCATTATCAGTTTATCTTTAGAGATTCTTTATTTTTGATCTTTAAATTAGTTATTTCTCTATCATTACTCATATTTTAGTTTGTTGTTTTATTTGTGCAATGTATGTTTTCAGCATTTATAACCTTTTAAAAAATTCTTTGGAAATCAAAAATTGTACTCAATTACAAGTGATTATATACTCAACACCAGATGCCACAATAATAAAGAAGCCTAACTTCTGATAAAAAAGAATGCTTCTTTCCCCACCTGGTTATCTTTATCTTTGTATTTTAATGATTTTTATTTTATTGATTTGCCTTATAGGGAAGCAAATATTGCCTACATATACTACTAAAACTTCCTGTGGAAATTACCTTTTTTATACTAGTTTATGCTTCTTGACCACTCATTTATTAAACAGTTGCAATGCTGTTTAATAAATGAGTGGCCAAAGAATAACTTGCATTTGCGCTCTCTCTGGGTGGACTGTGAGATGTAATCATTTTTGAGCATTTTATTGTAGTAGCTGTTCCCCCTTGGACTTCTCATGACATAGTTACTTCAACAGTGCATTATCAAGTTGGATGTGTTTCTTTTTTTAAAAGAATGGGTTCCCAAGCTATTTATTATAGGAATCAGTCTCTTTTTTGCATTATTAAAATAATTCAACATACTTTTCCTATATGAAAGATTGTACTTTCTTTATATGTCTGCATTAGCACAATTACTATTTTCTTGGCCCCTGTCCACATTGGGATTTGGCAGTTTTTCCCTTCACTCACTGAAATATATATATATGCAATCCCAGTATTCTGCCTGTTTTCATATATAATTGAAATTCCATATTAATTGCTACCTTTTACCCCATTAAAACTACTTTCACTCAATTAAAGATGTGAATGCTTACGCGACATGAATGTATTAAGGGTTTACAATTTCTGTAACTAGAAATGTTTCTAATGAAGTAATGATTTATTTCTGCATAGATAATAATTTCCACAATGCTCTAAATTAGCATCATAATCATAACCATCAAGTTAAGCTTAATTTTTGCTTGCTATTTCATTTTTCATTTGTAGACTCAAATCATCTTATCTACCTTCTATTAAAGAACCAGAAAAGAAAAGGAAAGATCTATTTTCAGTAGTCCCAGATCAACCAAATCATGAAAAAGAATTAAACAAGGTATGGAAAATAATGAGCTCCATTCTGCCAGGTAGATCTGAAATCTTTGCGTGAAGTGGGGAAAAAATCTTTCTGCTCACTCCCTTCTTTTTCCTTCCATATTTTCTCCTAAGACAATAATCTACCAAGCTCATAATTCTGACATTGTTCTGTGTGAACACAAACATTGGGTTATCATTCTGCCAGTTGGAAGAGTGCACATCAAATGTGGAAGGTCTGGCTTTGAGAGAGATGGCTTATAGCAAGAAGGTTGGTAGCCCACAGGTGTAAGCTTGGGGAAGCTGCCTGTGCACATTGCTCAGGATCCCTGTTTCTAGGATATGGTGATTAATACCCACTTCAATACCATAAGGTCATGATGAAAATGGAAGAGCCCTTAATAACTGTTGACTGCACTGCACTTACCATGGCTAGGAGCTGTTCGAAGGATTTAACAAATTCCAATTCATTTATTCCTCAGCCACCTCATAATGTGGGTCCTAAAGTTACTCTCTTTTTACACTTGAAGAAATTAAGATGCAGAGATGTTAATTATTTTCCCCCAACATTGTGCAGCTAATAAGTGGCAGAGGTTAGATTTGAACCTAGGCCATCTGTCTCCAGAGTGTCTGCTCTTGCCTTAAGTTGAAATTCATGAGATAATAAGGTAAGGTGCTTCAAGAGGGCCTAGCTCAGAAGAAGTGCTTAGTAAGTGTTGGCTGTTAATGTTTTTTGTCACACCCTCGTTTCTCAAAGAGCACTTGACACTGTGCCAAGGACTAGGCCAGGAGTTAGGAAGCAAGATGAGGGAGGACTAGGCATTATTCTTAGAGGCCTTGTGGTTCTCTCCTCTCCTACAAAAAGTTATTCTCTTCTCCTTCTAGTAGTGTCTTTCCTTCCATGAATTATCATAACTGCCATCTACCTGTCTGCTCTTTAGGCTTGAGGATCAGACAGACTATTCAATGCTATAAACTCTAAACAGTTGTTAAAACTTAAAGTGGGTCTGCTTGGAATTATTACCTTGTGCTCTACACAGTGCTTGTAACACAGTAAATGAAAATAAATATTTGGAGGATGAATTCAATAATATTAAGGATAGGTTCTTCCATAATTGCATAAGGTCATTAATTCAGTTTTGTTTGTATTAATTCCACCAATATTTATTGAGCCTCTAGTAGAGCTAAGTATCTTGCTGATTTCTGTAGGAAATACAGTGATGTCAAAGACAGATCCTGTCCGATAAAGAACTGACTGTCAGAGACTAATATGGAAAAACTACAGAACAATGCTGTTGTTTCATGAGTTAAGTATAAAATTTAATGGTCATTTTCCTTATGTATTGAACACTTTAATACCACATAATTCCATGAAACTGATTCTACTGATTTTAAAAATACAGCTTCAAAAAACTGTACCATACTGATGTCACCAATGAATGCATGGTAAAGGATTGATTAAAGCCACATATAGTTATACCCTTCTTATCCTTGTAAATTTTGTAGAGTAATAAAACCTTGAGTAATATAAAGAATCTACTGATTTTATACAAGTTGGCGTGGAGGGAGGGAGTACAGGTACAAACCTCTTTATAGGCTCTTGGAGACCACTGCGCAGTGCAGTGCAGTGCAGAAAAGATTACAAATGACTCCATGTAAATAGCTATAGCTTCCAGGAAGTGTTTGTGGAGAGCATTTTCATCCCATTGCAATAAAACCAACAAGAGCCATGTATTATGAATCTTGCCAGCGTTTTCTCTTTTTCAGTAGAAAGCTATTTTTAGTCATCTATTTTTGTGATAAAATTCACATTATTAATGAAGGCAAAAGTCATTTGAAGCTCAGGTAAATTAATCTAATTTAGAAACAAGCTTTGTAGTATAGCATGTTATATTAATATATAGCCAATTACAAAAATAGAGAAATAGTTCAGTCCTTTTCATAATAGTGTATTAATTTTTTAACAAAATGTTAAAGCTCCACTTTTAAGAGGAGCACATTAAACTATACCACAGGGATGCAGCCAGCAAAATCTACACCAGGACAGACCACAGAACAATGCTATCATTTCATCAGATGAGTCAAAAGGAAAGAATGGAGACAGGAAAAATTAGAGGAGACCTGCAGCATCATTGCGGGGTTGGCATGCTTGTGTTCCAGCCTCCTAGTCCCTCCTCTACTTTCAGGAGCCAGATAAGTTAGGCCCACCCAGTTTTCTTTCCTTTGAGTCTCCTTACCCCCATGCCATATTTGATAAATGGCAGGGTTGAGAAAATGTGATTGCTGTAGTCAAGACCATGTAATTTCTAGGACTGTGCCCAACTTTGAAATTTTAGAAATGTTATAAAGAACTTTCTTATTATCTCTTCTGTTTTCTCTGCAACAAAATCGGAAAAGAGGAGGGCAGAACAGGTTCTGCCTGGAAGCGGACACTGGGGGGAGGTGGCACAAAGAATATACACACATGTAAGTAAATATAAAACTGAGCTCTTTTGGGGAGAAACAAAAAAAGAATAGAAGCAGATAAGCTTGGTGAAGGACCGGATTTGCCTCTGGATATATATACTTTCCATGTTAAGGTCATCCTCCTCTACATGTTTTCCTTGAAACCCAGCTTGTTCTAATGTGTCAGCCACCTTCCAGGTCCTATCCATAAGATACCGCAAAACAAATGGGCAAGGTCACAGGTCCCAGAAACCAATTTCCTTTACCAGGAATGTGACTGAAAATTTATGCACTTTAGTGTTTTAATCTGCAAAACAGAGAGGAGATTGTGGGGTTTGCATGAAACAATGTGAGTAAAGTACTTAGAACACACCTACACACATGTACACACATATACATGGAGGCTTTAAAAAGATAGCATGAGCCAGTCTCAATGGGTAGACCATATTTAGGTCCTATTCAATTAAACAAACTTAAATAACGTTCATTACATTTTAAAATTTGATTTCTACCTTGATGTTTGATGATATGAAGCAATCAATAATGCTTAAAGACATTATAATGGTATTCTGGCTATGTTAGGAGAGAAGAGAGAAAAGGGAACCCTTATTCTTTTAGAGGTATACACTGAATGATTAAATGTAAAATGAAAAACTCCTCATTTTTCATCTTATAAGCTCTTGAGGTAAATTTATATAAATCTCTGTGAAAGTGCTACCAGTGGGGTTCTCAGATGACCCTAGTGGAGAAGATCTCAGGTCCTGTGTCTAGGACAAAGCATTGAACAGAAACACAGACTGCAAGCAGTAGTACAGTTTTATTGAAAGAAAAAGGAAAGTATAGACAGAAGGAAACACAACAAGAAAGAGCAATGGGCTCTGGCCAGATGGCACAGAAGCCCCAGTCTTTGTTCAAAGGACAATTTATAGGGTATAAGGGCAAAAGGCAGGAAAAATCTGGGCAGGAGGCCTAGGGTGATTGACAGGTGTGATTGACAGGAGGATGTTGTATAACTTACTTTTGACTGCACATGGCCCTACCCACAGTAAATCCTGTTATAATCACATGTAGGAGATACAGTCCAAGGTATGAAGTTTTAAGGAGGGGGTGTCCTTGAAGGTCATCAGAGGACAGGGTCCCCCAGCCTTGGCACATATACTAGTTCTGGGACTTTCCCTTCTACACAAACTCTTCTTTTATCATAATGTAGGGGACTTGGGCATATCCTAGGTGGGACTTTCATGACATTTTATCTGGTCAGTTTCTACCCCCTCTTGGCCAAACTGTACTCTCCTGCCTCACATAGCCTCTACTTAATCTCTCTGGCTTTATTTCTCTTAACACAGTTGACGCAGCCCTCCATCCTCCTGTGAATTCACCAAGGTTGACTCGTCCTCTCACCCCCATGTCCTCACTGCATTCTTTGCCTGGGACCCTGTCTCTAACTCATCTTCTGACTGGCTTCCATTTACCCTTCAGTATTTGTCTGATGGTCTCTCCCCTGAAAACCCTATCCAGACACCCCTACCCAGGCTGGGTTAAGCACACTCCACTGCTTACTGTGAACATTGATCACTGAATGCCTTGTGCAGTAATCGTCTATTTTTCTTTTTCCTCCAAAGGACTCTGAGTTTTTTTTTGAGATTAGTGATTTGTATTTTATCTCTGAATCTCAATAATTAGGAACTGTGAGTGGTTTCTAGAAAGATGCTAGGAGGCAGAACCAAGATTTCAGTAGTAGGAATGGGCCACAGGTGAGATTTAAGAAAGGTTGAGGTGAATGGATACTGCCTGACTGGATTTGGAAGGAAGAGGGTGGACAGCAGTTCAAAATGATGCAGAGATTCCAACCATAGAAAGCTTAGCCACAAGTGAAATATGTGTGCTCCACAGGCTTATGGGGAGGAGATGATGCATTTTCCTGGACACAGTAAGCTTAAAGTTTATTATAATGTGATTTTCAAAACACAGTATTTAGTCACAACAGTGCAGAATAATTAGTATTAAAAAATTCTGAATTTAAAGCCAAGATCCCTAGGTTCTGGTACCAGCTCTGCCAGTTATTAGCTTTCAACAAATTGCTTAACCTATTTAGGCCAATTTTTTACTCCATGAAAAGTGCTTCATAGTCTAGGCATGGTGGCACATGCTGTAATCTCAGCTACTAAGGCAACTGAGGCAGGAGAATGGTGAGATCAAGGCCAGCCTGGACTACAGAGAGCTCCAGCTCAAAAAGCAACAACCAGAAAGTGCCTGGTAGTACTTTCTCCACCTTCCAGTCAAAGTAGTATCAATAATAAGTGATGTTTTGTATACAATAGGAGATATGAGAAATAAAATTTTGGAATTGGAAGGAAGATGTAGATGAATCACATGAGCACCTGTTTGGAATTTAGCATTGATCAGACCAGAGGGTACAGTGGGGCCTGACAAAGTCTTTAAGAGAGGACATGAACATGGCTAATAAAATCTTTAAGCTGCTCTGTAAATGAAGGGCTTTGTCCATGTTTCCTGGTCTCTTGTTGCTGCAGATAAGGAATCAGCTCTGTCAGGAGGAAGAGCAACGCAACTCTGAACAGGAGCAGATGAGGAGTGAGATCTCTGACCTAACACAGGCACTTCATCAGAAGGAGATCACCATAGCAACCATCATGAAGAAAGCTGCCCTCCTGGAAAGACAGTTAAAGATGGAATTAGAAATAAAAGAATAAATGTTAGCAAAGCAACAGGTACGCAAGCAAGAAAGCTCCTTTCCAGGGCCCAGCATGCTCTGCACCCTGGGAGCCTTCACTAGTCACTGATGAAACTTTGCATTGCTTTGTGTTGTTTCTGAAACTGCACGTCACAGAAATGCTCTTGATGTCATAGAAGTGCTTTGTGGAGTCACGAAACCTTTGTATCATCGCATAAGAACTGAGGAGATAAGTGACAGAGGAGGAAAGTCATTGCATCTCATCCTCACATTTTCTCCTCACCGCAAACTGTGCTCAATCAGGTTTCTTCCTTAGTTGTTTTCTGTAGGTCCTTTCCACTAACATTTATTTTTAAATAACCTGTTCCTCTTTTTCTTAGCTATTTCCCATCTGGCATTTCATGTATTTATTTTAGGGTTTTAAAAAATGGATACTGTAACATGAAAATCTGTTCATGTTTATTAAACATTCACTCAACACACAGCATGATGCATGGAGAAAAACAGCAAATGTAACATTCTAATGTTAAAATACTGCAAGTATTTTCTATGTCATTCCTTCCTTCCCTTTCCTATTTTTTAAAAGTCCTTGAAGCTCTTACTTGTACTCAAATCAGTAGCTTGCTGTCAATAGAGAGCACAAGATTTATCTGCCTTTTTACCCCAAACCTAAATATTTTCAGAACACAAAACATTTATTGAAAAAATTTCAGTAACTTTTTAGGCATATGAGAATCACTTCATAAATAATGCAACTGTTAAACCTTGTGTATTATGAAAACAGGAAAGATTCAGCCTTCTGCCAATCATAAGCCTTAAAACTGTGATTAGCTTGTAAATACATAGGAAAACAGCCCAAGGAGAAAAACAACCTTGGTTGAACTTGTATCTAGAAGGATATTTTACAGGTGGTAACAGTGGTCAGGGTAGTTAGATTATCAATGATTCTTATTTTCACTTTCATATTCTTATATATTTTATAATTTACAAAAATAAATCTTTTTAAGGCAAAAGTTTTATATAGAAGTAAGCCCGAGATAAATTAAAGGACAGGTTTGGCATGGCGGTACGTGGCTGTAATCCCAGTACTTGGGAGGCTGAGGCAGGAGGATTGTGATTTCAAGGGCAGCCCGTGCTGCGTAGCAAGAGCCTGTCTTAAAAAACCAAATAAGTAAGTAAATCCACAAACAATAAGCAAAAGGACAGATACTATATCCAAGTACTGTTAAGTAGAAGAAATCAGAGAAAGAAATAATGTAGAAGACACAATGAAGAAGTCACAAACAAAGAAGGAAATTTGTCAGGAATAACAGAAAGAACAGCATTAAACATGAAAATCAGACATTACATATTGTAAAAATTAATTAGGTATTGAAGAAATTTAATGGATAGTATTACTTCAAGCATGTTCTTTAAATTGTGATTTTTCTAGTGACTATTCACATACAATAGAAAGCAGAAATGAGAAATGTAATTTGGGAATTGGAAGGAAAAAAAGCAAATGAATTATTATTATAATTATCTGCTTTTAATTTAGCATTCATCATAAGTGGAGGGTGCAGCAGCATTTACCAAAGACAGGAGAGCTGAATAGAGTACCCAACTGATAAAAGTAAAGAGATGTGTTTCCTTTCACTACAACTAGAAAATATTTGCATTAAAAAGATAAAATTAATTTTAATAGACTCATGAGTTTTCATTATGAATTTCCATCTCCCTTTTATCTTCTAATCTTTCAGGTCTCAGATATGAGATATAAAGCTGTCAGAACAGAAAACACGCATCTAAAAGGAATGATGGGAGATTTAGACCCTGGACGGTACATGGTAATATGCTGAATTCATTCACTTAACTGAGCAAGGGACTACTTAATTGGTCAGGATTTCCCTAAACATTGTTTACTGAGCACTTGCCATATATCAGGCATGCAGGAGTTACAAACTATCTTGCACTCAGTTGAATTTACCTTTATCCTCAGGCTGGAGCATTTAATTTCTAGTTTTCTCCCTTCTTCTGTTTCTTGAATTGAGCTTAATTCTGATCACTTGCCAGACACATTCTTTCGTTGCTTTCAATCTTGCTGTTGCCTTGAAATCCTACCACATACGTGGTATATTTTACAACTTACACAGATTCTGTGCTTCTCATTCCCATTGTTTAATGTAACAGTTGATGGTTGATTTTTTTTCCCTTCATTGTTGTGCTCGTTGGAGATACATGTTGGCATTTACACTGGTTCTTAGGATGCATCAAATATATATGATATGTGTACACTATTTTTGCAACTACCCCCTCCTACCCTCTTTCCCCAACACCTTCCCCTCCCACTGGTGCCAGCCCTATGACAGTTGTTATGTATTGAATAATTGAAACATCAGCATTATTTATCTTTTATTTGGTGTGAGAGAAAATCCTAAAATAATTTTTCTACTACTCAAGAAGTAGAGAAGATATGAGTGTTGTAATTCCTTCACCTGTAAAGTGAGAGCTGGATTGGATATTTTTCACAATCCTGTATTTCTGTGATATTATGTGCTTGTTCTCATAATAGCTTATCTTCTAGTATTGAGAGTAGAAGCATCTGGATACATTCTGCCTTCTTTTTGAGCACAGTTATAGATGTGATGGAGTACAAGTGGATAAAAAGGAAAACTTACGTGGTTTCCCATCTGCCATGAAAAAATCTGCCTGTTACCTAAGCCTTTTTATTTCTAAACACTGCACACACAAAAAGTTAAATCAGATCGTGACTCCATGAATGTTTTATCACAAAATAGTATTTGTATTCTTTAAAATTCCATCTGAGTGTTTTCATGTTCTAGGTTATCACAGCCTCCACTGAGCCTACTTCACTGATTCCTACAGACTTTGACTTTGCTCATTTATTATTTAAAGCGACATTTTTGTTTAAGATAGCTATTCAAGGGAGTTCATTATGAAATTTACATGTATATGTGTATTATAATCAAACTGGTTCATCCCCTCCATTTTTCTTTTCACCTTAGTCCCCTTATAGTTATTTCAAAAGGATTAAAAATCCATTTTCATTCTTGTATAGAAAGTACATCAACCATTTCACCTTCTTTACCTCCTTCTTTTATTCTCCCTCTCCCATTACCGACCTCCCATTAGCATGACCTGTTTTTCATTCTTGTCCTTCATTGTTCAGTGGGACTTTTGCCTTGGTATTTTATACCACACCTGGCTTGTTCTTTTCTTCTTTTCACCCTCCCTTATTCTCTTCTAACAGTCCCACTTTTGGAAACATGTTCTGTATATATTTATTTGTATATATAATATTGCTTGTGTTTGTACTGAGACTGTATTATACATATGAGAGAAAACATGCGTATTTGGCTTTCTGAAACTAAATAACTTCACTTAAGATGATTTTTCCAATTCCATCTATTGACCTACAAATGACAAAACTTCATTCTTCTTTATGGCTGAATAAAATTCCATTGTATACAAATACCACATTTTCTTAATCCATTCATCAGTCATAGGTCATCTGGGTTATTTCTGTAGCTTGGCTATTGTGAATGATGTTTCAATTAACATGGGTGTGCAGGTGTCTTTATTTTAATGTGACTTACATTCCTTTGGGTATATCCCCAGGAGTTGAGTTAGTGGATCATATGGCAGCTCTATTTTTAGTTGTTTGAGGAGTCTCCATACTGTTTTCCACAATGGTTGTACTAATTTTACATTCCCAACAACAGTGGTGTATGAGGGTTCCTTTTTCCCACATCCTCACAACATTTGTTGTTTGTGTTCCTAATGCAGCCATTTTAACAGGAGTGAAGTGGAATCTTAAAGTGGTTTTTGATTTGCATTTCCTTTTTGGCCAGGAATGTTAATACTTTATGTGTTTGTTGACCATTTGGACTTCTTCCTGTTCAGTTCACTTGTCCATTTCTTCTCTGGGTCATTGATTTTTAGGAGTTTAGATTTTGAGCCTTGTGTATTCTGGTTTAATTCGTTATCATACATATAGCTAAAAAAGATATTCTTCCATTCTGTGGGCTGTCTCTTCAATTTTGTGACCATTCTGTTTGTGTAGAAGCTTTTAATTTTATGTAATTTGTCAATACTTTCTCTTGGTTGCCGAGCCTTTTGAGTTTTTATTTTAGGGGGCTGTTGCCTATGCTATACATTCCAGTGTGTTCCCTGCTCTTTCCTGCACTACTTACAAGTTTTAAGTCCTATAGCTAAAAAAGATATTCTTCCATTTCTGTGCTGTCTCATTCATTTTGACCATTCTTGTTGAAGCTTTATAATCTTTATGTCAATTTGTTTCAATACTTCTCTTGGTTGCCGACCATTGTTTTATTTAGTGGCTGTGCCTATTGTTATACATGCCATGGGTCCCTGCTCTTGCCTCACTAAGCTTACAAGTTTAGAGTCCTATATTAAGATCCTTTAAGCCACTTTGAGTTTATACTTTACAGGAAGAAAAGCATGGATCTAGTTTCAGTTTTGCACACAGTACCAGTTTTCCTAGCTAACATTGTTCTTTTGGAAAAGACACGCCTCTTTATTTGGTTTTTTTTCATTTTTCTTTTATTATTCATATGTGCATACAAGGCTTGGTTTATTCTCCCCCTGCCCCACCCCCTCCCTTACCACCCATCCACCCCCTCCCGCTCCCCCCCTCAATACCAGCAAAACTATTTTCCCTTATCTCTAATTTTGTTGTAGAGAGAGTATAAGCAATAATAGGAAGGAACAAAGGTTTGCAGGTTGAGATAAGGATAGCTATACAGCATTGATCACATTGATTTCCTGTGCGTGTCGGTGTTACACTTCTAGGTTAATTCTTTTTATCAAACCTTTTCTCTAGTCCTTCTCCTTTTCCTATTGGCCTCAGTTCTTTAATATCGCTTTATTCTCTGCATTAAGGCAACAAATGCTAGCTATTTTTAGGGTCTACCTATCCTCACCCCTCCCTTGTGTGCTCTCGCTTTATTCATGTGCTCATAGTCAATCCCCTTGTGTGTTTGCCCTTGATCTAATGTCCACATATGAGGGAGAACATACAATTTTTGGTCTTTTGAGCCAGGCTAACCTCACTCAGAATGATGTTCTCCAATTCCATCCATTTACCAGCGAATGATAACATTTTGTTCTTCTTCATGGCTGCATAAAATTCCATTGTGTATAGATACCACATTTTCTTAATCCATTCGTCAGTGGTGGGGCATCTTGGCTGTTTCCATTACTTGGCTATTGTGAATAGTGCCGCAATAAACATGGATGTGCAGGTGCCTCTGGAGTAACAGTCTTTTGGCCTAGCAACATTTGTTGAAGAGACTGTCTTTTTTCCTTTGTATGTTTGGGTACCTTGTCAAAAGTCTGGTGGAGGTAGCTGCATGTATTCATATCTAGTCTTCCTTCTGTTCCAGTAGTCTTCCTGTCTGTTTTTGTGACAGTACCATGTGTTTTTATTGCTATGGCTCTGTAGTATAGTTTGAAGTAAAGTATTGTGATACTTCCAGTGTTGCTGTTTTCGCTCAGTATTGCCTTGGCTATTCGCAGTCTTTTTTGCTTCCATATGAGCTTTAGGGTTGACTTTTCAATCTCTGTGATGAATGTCTTTGAAATTTGATGAGTATTGCATTGAACATGTAGACTGCTTTTTGGTGATACAGCCATTTTTATAATATTGATTCTGCTAACCATGAGCATAGGAGAACTTTCCAACTACTGTAGTCTTCTTTGATTTCTTTCTACAATGGTTTTCGTTGTAGAGGTCTTCACTTACTTTGTGAATTTTATTCCTAGGTTTTTTTTTTTTCTTAAGGCTATTGTAAATGGAATCATTTTCCAATATTCTTTCCTATATTCTTTCAGTAGAAAGGCTACCGATTTTTTAAAATTGATTTTGTATCCTGCTATTTTGTTGATGGTGCTTATGATATGTAGGAGTTTTTTGTGTATTGTAGTTATAAGATCATGTCATCTGCAAATAGGGATAGTCTGGCTTCTTCCTTTCCTATTTGCATTCCTTTTATTTCTTCTTCCTATCTTTTACTCTGACTAAGAACTCCAAGACAGTGTTGAATAAGAGTGGAGAGACTAGACACCTTGTCTCCTTCCTGACTTTAGAGGAAATTGTTTCAGTTTTTCCCATTTAGTATAATGTTGGCTATAGGCTCATTGTATTGTGTTGAGGTACATTCCTTCTATTACTCGTTTCATCACAGATTTTTTCATGAAAGAATATTGAATTTTGTTGAAGACTTTTTCTGCATCTATTGAGATAGTCATGTGGTTTGTCTTTGCTTCTGTTAATACGCTGTATTACATTTAATGATTTGTATATATTGGGCCATCCCTGCATCCCTAAAATGAAACTGACTTATGGTCCATAATCTTTTTGATATGTTGTTGAATTGGTTTGCCAGTGTTTTGAGAGTTTTTGCATCTAAGTTCATTAAAGAGATTGGCCTATAATTCTGTCTGTGTGTGTGTGTGTGTGTGTGTGTGTGTGCTTCTCTGGTTTGATGGGTGGATAATACTAGCTTCATAGAATTATTTTGGCAGTGTTTCTTCCCTTTCTATTCATGGAAAAGTTGAGGAGTATTGATATTAGTTCTTCTTTAAAGGTCTGGTAGAATTCATCAGTGAATCCAATGGGATCTGGGCTTTTCTCTTTGGAGAGACTTTTAATTATTGCTTTAATCTCATTGCTTGTTATAGATCTGTTTAGGTGATTTTTATCCTCTTGATTCAATTTTGGTTGGTCACATGTGTCTAGAACTTTGTCCATTTTTCCTAGATTTTCCAATTTATTTGAATATAGGTTTTCAAAATAATCCCTGGGTTTCCTTGGTGTTTATTGTGGTTTCCTCTTTTTCTTTTCTAATTTTATTAATTTGGGTCTTTTTCCTCCTTATTTTAGTCAGGTTTGCCAGGAGTTCATCAATCTTACTTATCTTCTCAAAACTAACTTTTTGTTTTGTTATTTGTATTTTTTTTTGTTCTCTCTTTCCTTGATTTGGTCTTATTTTTATTATCTCTCTCTCCTGCTAGTTTTGGGTTTACCTTGTTCTTGTCTATGTGGAAGTCAGAGATGCAGCATTAGGTAATTTATTTGAGATCTTTCTATGTTTTTAACATACACATTCATGGCTATAACCTCTCCTTTAGCACCCATAGGTTCTGATAGGTTGTGCATTTCTTTTCCATTAAATTTCAAAAACTTTTCATGTCCTTCTTTATTTCTTCTTCTTCCTTCTTATTTTTCCCTTATCATGGAGCAACATGTTGTTCAGTCTCTCAGTGTTTGAATATTTTCTGCTGTTTCTTTTGCTATTGAGTTCTAGTTTTATTCTGTTGTAGCCAGACAGTATGCAGGGGTTTGTTTCAATTTTCTTATATTCTTTAAGACTTGCTTTGTGACCTAAAATATGATCTATTTTGGAGAAGGTTTCATTGGCTGCTGAAAAGAATGTATATTGTGCTGTTTCAGAATGGAATACTCTGTAGACTTCTGTCAGGTCCTTTTGATTTATGGTATCATTTAATTTTAAAGTTTCTTTGTTGATTCATGACCTATCTATTGGTATAGTGGAGTATTGAAGTCTCCACTATCACTGTTTGGCTGTCTAATCTTTTCATTTATCTGGGTTTTTTTTAATAATTGCATTGCTTTCATTTGCTATTTCTTGAGATCCTTTTTGAATTCATTTAGTAGTTTCTGTGTCTTCTCAATATTTTTATCTGTATTCTCTTGGGATTCATTGAGTTGTTTTTGAAGGTTGTCTTTAAGCCCCTTAAACATTCTTGTTATTATTCTTCTGACCTCAGTGTCTCAAGATTTATCCCCTTAACTAGCCACTAAATCCTCTAATATATGATTATTAACCTTTTGAGGAGTCATGTTTCCCTGCCTTCTCTTATTCACCATTTTTTTAATTTGAGATTTACTCATGTGTTGTTGATTAATTGTTTGGGGGGATT